TTCTCCATTGCCACCAACTCTAATATTGTTTTATCAAATCCCAGGCTCCGAATCCGGTTACAAAATCTGGTAGTGAGAAATCCTAAAGCAAGTTTAGCTACTTGCTTCCTGGTTTTCTAGCCCTGTAGGCTTATGGTGAGGCTCGTCTAAGAGAACTTTCAATCTTTTAGACAAACTCTTTGGTTATAGCTTGATGATTTATTCATTATAGTATGTGTATTTATAGGAAAGCATATTAAATATTATCCCTATAACACTTCTAAAAATTATAACTCTAATTTTATTTCAAATCCTAATATAAATCTAATTATAGTTCTTGGAGACAGTCCTAGTTTTATCCCAATTTCCTAATCTAAATCTAAATCTCAATATTTAATAGAAATTCTAAAATAATTTTAATTCTTATTAATTCCTCAAAGAAACCAACTTCCTATTAGACTCAAACTCCCTCCTTTTACTGCCTCCATGGCCCCAACACATTGTATTTTCTGTATTGTAACATCTATCTTCCACAACAAGAAAATAACCCTTCGAATTACTGACCCAGATCCCTAATCACAAATTAGAACAATCAGGTTGAATAGGATGTTGTGTTTGATTTGATTGCTTCTAAAATAAGAAAATAGACTAGGTTATTACATGAGAATATGCATAGCAGTTACAAGCCTAAATATGTAATAATTATTATGCAATTACATCTTAATCAGTTATAGTAGTAACCAGAAGCATGGATAAGGAAAGGCTGATTTTCACACCATATCTTTTACCCTTTTTTAAGTGGAAAGATTAACTAAGTTGTCACATCTAGTCTAATACACTCAGAAGCATATAGATTAGGCATATATTGAGAATAAAGCACACCATCACAGTTTGCTTGAGTAACACGTTCAGCTCCTCCAAGCGGACACCTCTGGAGATATCCTGCAGGAATGATCCATACACGTTAAAACCATTTTGACAACCAAATCACTAGAAAAAGTTTACATTTCCCAATGACATGTATTTATTTATTAATAAAAAAAGAAAGAGAAACTATATCATCAACAACAAAGTGGCCAGCAGGTGTAAATTGATAAGCAAAGAGCACCAGCATAATGCAAGGGAAAGCAGAAAAAAATGAAAATTTTTATTATTTACGGCAAAACATGGGCACTTCTACACCAATCCTATAAAACTATACCTTGAAAAGTTTTCCTAGTGGACCATTGACATAGTTGACATCACAGTAAGTTTTTGCAAACTCATACTTGTCCCTTCCCAGCAAACCAGGCCTAACAACAGAATAACTGTCAAGAAAAATTTGTGCAAATACATAACCAGAGTAAGAGATGTAATAGCTGGAAGACAACTTGCCATAGCATATTTATCTGGTGAAAAATGTCATACGGTCTATGATCACCTAGGAAATGTATAACGTGAGATATTAGGATGCAGTAGAAAGAAAACTAAAAAAAATCTAGAAGCATATGAGATAACTAATATCAAAATATAAAGATATCTAAGAATGAAGATTCAGCATAATAGACTAATAAGCACTGTGAAGTGCAAGACAAAACTTCTAATTTAATTCAAAAGCTCAAGCTACAACCTCGATAAAGAAGGGGTGCCTGATAAGAGAACTATTCGCTTGACATTTGCAGCCACATCAAGGACAGTTCTTACCTGATAGAGAAATGTAATGTACATAAGAAGCATTCCATGAACGGCTAATATTGTGAATAAGAGCAAATTAAAATTAGAGATAAATTTGAATAATGATGTATTTCCACCAATGCACCCAACGGTTCACATCAGGTATCTTTGAACAATTCCAATATCTGAAACTCAAAGAGGAAATAGTGAAGTCTTCCTAATGTGCATTCACAAGATAACATTTTATTATCCTACAAATGCATAATTTCACTTTTTCATTTCTTAATAAGATAAGAAAAGATTTTACCAGAGATGAAGAAAATAAGAGGTAAGATAAGATACCCCCTAAATAAGTAGAAGGGAATCCAAAAAAAAAGGAAGAAAATGAAAAGAAAAGAAGGGGAAAACATCAAAACTGAAGGCCCTCCAAATCCCTTTGTATGCTACAGAAAGGTATGACTGTGAAAAACTACAAGGCTCAGAAGACCAAAAGGCCAAAAAGGACATTCTGTCTCAAAGAAGAAGAGAATGTGTCGATTAAAGCTTTTGAGTTATTTTGATTTTTCATCTCATACAATTTACAAGGAGTATTTTCTGACAGTCATAAAAGTCTTGGAATTATCAAGCCCAAGAATACAGGTTTCACTATTAAAAGCAGATGAGTAGGATGTGGTCCAAGCCACTCCAAGGAAATGACTTCGGTGAAACCTAAACTACTTACCCACTAAAAACAGATTTCATTTATAGCAGATCACATGTATTAAATCCAAATAATAACACAATTAGTGCAATTATTTACGCACCATGAGAGATTCACAATTTGTTGTTTTCAAGTATGACATTTTCTGTCTATCCTTTTCAAGGGGATGGAATGTTGATCAAGGATTGGTTGGCTCTTTTCTATTTTAACCAATATAAATTATAACTTTGCCACATCCTAAGCAAAACAGAGCTTATAACACAGGCTCAAAACTGCTGAATTCTTCAGGATCTTTTCCAACTATAGTTAGCTACAGTAGTCCAGCCAGGTTATAATTCAATATTTTGGTATATAATTGTTTTCTGGGATAAAAGAAGAAGCTTTATTAAGATAAAAGGAACATAAAGAACAAAGAGTTAAACATCCTCCTAGTCTTGACAAGCTACAATGAGCAAAACAATATAGAGAGATATAATACATAAAGAATGTGGGATCCTAAGTGCCCAAAAGAATAATCTCCCAATTCTGATGGAGTTCAGGAGTACCGATGTCTGAGAATTTTCCATGCGCTTTGACCTATAATGTTTTGACATATAAACTTAGCAACTAAAAGAAAGATCTCTGTAAATTTCATAAGTACCCTGATGGAACTTAAAGAAGTCTTGTCAGAGATTGACATTCTATAAATATATTGCATTGAAATAGACATTCTGTAAAGATATTGTCAATGGTACTAGAAAAAAACAAAAGGAAATGCATCTATACATAAATTTGTGGGTCATTGACCACCAACAACTTGGACACACTTCATACCTCTTCTGGATCTGATTTATTCTTCGAACACCGTAAATGGTGAGATTCATCAACAATCAAGAGAGTCCATTCTCGCTCAAGCATACACTTCCGGAGGGGGTGAAGCATTGTATAGGAAATAACCTCAATATTAGGGTGGCTTGTTAAATAGTCAGGATTATTTTGATGACCAAAAACTGAAGACAAAAAGGGATATGTGAGTAACAAGAAATATGGAATATACCTACGGAAACATAAAATTTGAAATCTATATTCGAGCAAAAAAAAATGCAGATACCGTACTGCAATGATTTTTTAAAATTCTAACCAGCAAGAACTACAAAGAGAAGCAACAAGAAGAAATCTTATATCTTTACGAAAGAATATGCAATTCTTAACCATAAAACAATAGCACATAATTGGGAAATTTTAACATAAAATGTTCCCAGAAGTTTTGCAAAGATGAATCTGCATTTCAGCAGGAATAAATTATCAATAAAACAAAAAGAAAATGGATGTAACTCTTTCTTTGCCTTTTTCCTCACAGACTCCAGCTTTCCAATCAAAAAGGAGAAAGGACTGACTGACAGAGAACCTTCATGAATAGAACAAAAGAAAACTCATGAACTTCAAAACAGAGAGAAAATCAGAAAAAATACAATATGAAAAACATACCTCAATTTTTTTTCGATTATTAACCTTTTTTATTGGTACCAGTTTTTCCACTTCAAAAACATCTTTTAACACTCACTACGTAGCAATTATTGACAACATTTTCAGCATTTTAAAGCTGGAAAACTGCAGCTGTTCAAAGATGCATTTGAGATATTTCTATTTTTGGTTACCGCTGGGGGGATTCTTTATCTCTATTTTTGTGCACCATCCTTTTTCTCTCTTCCTAACAATATTTATTTTATCCAAAAAATGATGCATTTGAGAAAAGAAAAGTTAACATCTTTTGGCACTTCTTATTGTTTGATCAGATATCATGCTATAATTGTGACCAATCACTAAACCATTGTGCTATTCCCCCCTACTTCTGTTTGAAAGATACACCTATATTACAGTCTATACATGAATTATTAACAGATACAGTAAGTTAGGATTTTAACAAACAAGAAACAACCGATACAGCAAAATCAAATTATCAAACATTTTATTGCTTGTATGCAAAAGAAATTTAATATATTTTATTATATATATCAAGCCTATGTGATTTGGCTTGACTTTTCATGCCAAACTTCGATAATGTGCTTTAGAGAAATCAAAATCAAATTTGCTTT